TGGGTGGAAAGCATACAAGTTTTTTAAGATATTAACGCATGTTGAAATTAATATGTAACAGATTAAATGTATGTTCTATATATTTCATTATACAGTTTGTGTTGAGGGAGATAATTGCAGTAATATCAGATTTATATAAAATAATGGCAATTTTGTTTTTGATACTGACTTTATCAGCAAGAATATCAAGCGAGCTCGCTAAGGCGAGCTGATATTCGAGCTGATGAAGTCGGTATCAAAAAATAAAATGACATTATTCTTTTTGTCGGCAATTTGTCTTAGCTGTCTCAAATTTTTGGTTGATAATATGAGGTAAAATGAGATATTTTGTAAAATTACTTTTACTCGTACAGAATGTTGGGATAGTTGTTCGGTTGTAGAAATGAAGTCGCGTGCATTTCATAGATAAATTGACGCGGATGGACTTGAAAACGTGAGTTTACTGCACTGATACATGACGTCATTGCCACATATTTTTGAGTATCAATTCCTGTCAATGATTAAACGGGAAAATGTACAAATTGCGATAAATTTTTTAATTTGTTAATTTTTCATAAATTCCTTGTAATTTAGCGTATGCACACACCGTTGTTTGACCAAACGTGGCAGACTTATCAGAATCGATTGTGGTCACTAAATGACAAAAACAGAATAAGAGCTTCTTTTCCTTGAAAATGTTGAAAAATGATAGGTTTTTAAGCAGGAAGTGGCTGTCTGTATTTTGTCTCACCTGTAACGAATATCGCATACCACCAAACCTGGCGATCTTAATTCGGTGGTGATGTTTATTCTTTGGAAAATGTTATATTTCAAAAAGTATACGATTCGTATTACAAATATATTGTATACAGATTCCTGGTGTAGTCTGGTGTGATTTGTGGTAATTTTGACGCTTGCTGTCATCCGTTTTGATTTATTATTCTGGTAAATGTTCATTGACCATTACCTTATATTTTACGTTCAATAACATCATTACACATGTAAATGAATGATTGCCAATGAGAAAACTATCCACCAAAGTTCAAATGAAGTGGATGTAAGAAATTTGAGGCAACCGTATGGCCTTCAGCAATGAGAAAAACCCATACCGTATAGTCGGATATGAAAGGCCCAGACATCAAATAAAGGCAACAGTAGAATACCGCTGTTCAATAGTAATATATCGATTAAACGAAAACAAATCCGTGACAAAAACCGAAACAGAGGGAAACACATCAACTATAAGAGGAAAAAAACGGAACAACAGAAGCACTGAACTGCCACAAAACAAACGACAACATACATAGAAACGGACTATTTGATAACAACTGCCATATTATATATGAATAATATGAAAACATGCGAAAATATAAACATTCAATTGAGAAAACTAACACATAATTTATAACAAAACGATTTGCGAAAAACAAATATGTCAGTCATGAACCAACGACTCCCACTGAACTACAAGCTCCTGATTTGGAACAGGCACATACAGTATGTGGCTGGTTAAACATGTTTATGAACGCTCAATCCTCCCCTTACATGGGACAGTGGTGTAACAGCACAACATAAGAACTTAATATAAAAAAAGCATTTGAAAAAGGCTAAACTCATCATACCGATACAAAGCAGAATATATTTAATACCTTCTCTAAAATAACATACCTGCATGTTGAGCGCTGGTCCAGCCCATGCTTAGAGGGTATGGGCTCACTTTGCAACCTGAGACGGATAACCTCGAGTGAAAAAACCATTTGCACACTAAAACATGTATCCAAAAGAACTGTCAAATGGAAAAAACAAATGATTCGTTCACCCGACGAGAGGGCTGCCTAGTTACCCGTTTTATTCAGGGCTGCCTGAGAACTCAGGTAATAATTTTGTGACAAGTAAAGAATGGGTAACATCCATTATTACATTGCTCTCATAGCATGTTGCCAAAGCACAAACCACAATCTCGGAGGTGTTAGGGGTGGATGGCGGGTCAATAAATACAGAATAAAATTGTTACAAAAATAAACATGTATATCTATTTCCTTTACAAAATTTCAATTGCTACTTAAAACTAACTTTCTGATAACTATAGACAATGTTGGGGAGGAGTGAAATCAATGTTGACACGCCTGATTTATCAGATAAAGTAGACTATCAAACAATGCGGTTAAACAATTTGCAGACATCAATAAATAAGTCAAGATTAAGAGATAAAGTAACAAATGGCAGCTGCAAGGAAATAAACACTTACATAAACTTTAATTAATGAGCATCAATACACATTTATGTGCCTTGTTTCTTTCAAACAAAGATATGACCGCACGATGACCTTCCCCCAGCTGATTTAAGATTTAAGATTTAATGTGTGCTAGAAGCATATCCGCGCTGTTAATCAAACCTGGTATGTATACAGACCCAGAACGACTGATGAAGTAATTTAAATTAAGGTAAAAGAATAATAATAATAATAATAATAATCCAATGGAAAAATCAAAATAAATCAAAAATGAAAGATTTTAATATATTTACTTAACAAATTTAAAAAAAAACACAATAAATACAAATATAAAAAGTTATAAAAATTGGCGTTACGGGCAACATGCTTATGATTGATATGTATTTAAAGACGATAAATAAAGGCGGGAAATTGGAGAATGACGTTCACATAAACAATAATACTCCGGACTTCATGGTAGAAATATGTTCGGACAATCAAGGTGATGAAATGAAAACGAGGATATAGAATTGAATATAAATACTGATTCCCAAGGAATCAACGAAACATACTTACGAAAAAAGGAGTTGTACGTAATTACAAACACGAAAACAGACTTACAAATGAAGGAACATATATGAACAAACAAGAAGACTGATAAACTCAGAAATGAGGAAACATTCCTATGTCCAAAAAAGGATACATAATTGCAGGTGAACAAGATGACATATGTTTAATATAAAAGTATACCGACAGACTGAGCCTGATTTAAAAATAAACATGTACAAAACACATACAAAATAACAGACAAATAAAGGAACAAGCAATGAGACAGATGCACCGGAAAAGGAAAAAAATTAAATACGTAGACATATGCACAAACAGGAAGACGAATACAAGTAAACATTAACCACATATAGGAGACATAGTTCTGTACGCACAATGAGACAACCAAACCGATACACAAGAAGACAGATATATGGACAGAAAATGACATAGGTATGAGGAGCCAGGAGGGATCCGTACTGACAAATATATAAACAGAAAGACATGCAAGCTGTGTAAATTAAGGTACACGAGACAGTATCAATTTTTGTGCTGGGTGTCGCTCCGTTTTTAGATTATGCGATTCTTTGACATAATGTTTGTTTTTTTTTCTTTTTTATGTTCAAAACCGCGGTAAAGTTAAACAACTTGTGTCTATTATCAACCCTATTAAATTCTTTAATCATTTTTTATTTTCCCTGGCAATCCTGCATAAAAGTATACTAAAAAAGATAAATTTATCCTATACGATAAAGAACAGAATTTCAAACCGTCTTATTTCTTGATTCCGATGCATCTGTATGTGATTGGTGTTGCTCAATCCGAAGAGATTCATTTTCAAAAGACATATTTTCGTCAATTCAAGTCAGCGAATAGGAATATAGCAAACATAAATAAAGCACATGTTTACAAACAAAATAAACAAAACAGTTTAACAGCATTTTCAGCATCACACTCATTCTAGTTTTTATATGTTTGTCAAACTCAAAATCAGAAAAGAATATTTTGACATTAATGTCTACTGTCGATATGTCCTTTAAAATCTTTTTTTTTTTATTAACTTCAAAACAATAATCCGAAAAAGTGTTCATCTTTGTGTTCGACCTTAGACAATGATAAAACTTACCACCAAACTAGCGCTAAACAACAACAATCACACTAATGGCTTAAACATGTGCATGTCACTTCTGTGTAGATGTATATTATATAATGTAATTCTGTATAAAATATGATAGCACATTAAAGTTGTGGTTTCATAGAGGATATCCTGCAAGAATATAAATGTATTGTCCATGAAATGTATAAATCATAATGAATAATTTGCGTATGTGTTATCATTGTAGCAGTACTTTTAATATATGTACATTCGCATGTAATACATAAGCAGACAGTGCAATACTTGCGGAATACAGATCCAGCAATGTATACCACACAAACGAATTTAATATGATGTGAATAAATTCTTCATATAAACATGTACCAGGTTTTAAATTTAATCAGTAATTATCGAATAAAAATATTTAAAAGTGCAAAATAATGTATACGTACAAAGTGATGAGCACGGATGACATAAAATTTAACAAGTTAACCGTCAACTATTTTGGCAGTTTTGTAAAGCTTTTTTCATTACGTTATGTTATCAACGTTCTATATATTTTGCTTTGCAGATTTTAATTTTGTTCTTTTATGATATTTGGGTATTTAAGAATGAAATGTCACTCTAATTGAAACCAGTGTCATACAATGTGTTCCTTTTATTCTTTTCCTTTTTTTTGTATATTTATTGTTATCAAGAAATTAAAATACAAAAAAGATCAGAAGATTTCCGTAGAAAGATTGATCATTATCCTTTTGTTATCAACACTAACATGTTTGTTTTGCGCAATCGTCATCTTTTGTTCTTGTTTTAAGGATGATTGTTTATCTGTTCATTCTCTTTTATTTGGTCAAGATGTTGTCTGTCGTCGTTCTTTGACAATGTTTTAATATCCTCTTGGTATCTTTTTCAACCTTTTTTTCTTCTATTGAAATTCTGTAGTTTATAATGCGATGTATTGCGCACTGATAAACTGTCAAGTTCATAAATACTGACCCAGCATAATAAACACATGGATATAAACAACAAATCATCATACACATGACCAAACATTAGGATGTTATTTTCCCTCCACACTTTCGGTTCTTTCATTGGTTATCAAATTCTATTTACAGTGGTTTTTTTTATATAATTGTCTTGTGTTTTTTATTACATCATTTATTAAAACGTTCACAGTATGAAATAGAAAACACCTTTCCGGGTAATTTAGCAGTTAGTTGTTAAAGTGGTTACATAATTATTTTTTACTTGTGTATATAAAGACGTTCTCCACCGAATACCAGTTACGTTACTGTTACCCTACAGATCATAATGTGGTCAATATTGATAATGTTCAGTTGTGTTATTGGTTGTGTGCAGAGTCAAGGTATGTACAATATTTTCATAGGGGTCCACAATTCAATTTTTAAATTATATATATTGATACAGACACTTTATTTATCTTTTATTAATATCTTACCATTTTCTCAGTTAAAATATATATTTCAAACATTTGTAACCTTGATGTGAAAAGCACAATCGTTACTTTAACCTTGAATGTTTGATTTATTTAAATGCTTATATTATTTAAAATGTTACATTTATGTTAATTGTAAAATATCTATTATGGTATTATACTAAACCCCTAACGGGAGGGATTTGCTGGATTTTCAAATGATGAAGACATAGTCTTTCAATCAGTTTGATTGAGGTATGGAGCTGGCATGTCAATAACCGCTTATACTCCTTTGTTACTTTATTCATCATTGTCATTTTGTTTAGTTTCTTCCGTAACCTATTCTGACATTGGACTAGGACTTTTTTTAAACTGAGCTTTACTGTGCGTATTGCTGTGTGTTTGTTTATTCTACATTGGCTAGAGGTATAGGGATAGGGATAGGGATAGGGTTGAGATCTCACAAAAATTGTTTAACCCCGCAGAATTTCTTGCGCCTGTCCCAAGTGAGAAGCCTCTGTCCTTTGTCAGTCTTGAATGTTGTTTTTTTTTTATTTTAGTTCATTTATATGTTTCGGGGTTTAGTGTGACGTCAATTTGTACTGAACTAGTACACATGTTTGTTTTGGGGGCAGCTGAAGTCCGCCTCCGGTAGTTGGATTTTCTCGCTGTGTTGAAGACCCATTGGTAGCCTTGGGCTGTTTTATGCTCTATGGTCGGGTTCTTGTCTCTTTGACACAATCCCAATTTCCATTCTCAATTTTATTTACAACGTTAAATCCAAGAAAAGGATTTGCAGTGTGCACTTTTAGAATTATTGATCCGACAGCTTTATATTTTTAACTGTTTTTATCATTTTGAGAATGTAAAAAACTAGGTGTGTTTTTATATTCGAACTGACAGTTTTACCTATTATGTCTGTTTGTATTGTTCACACATCGTTTTCAATATAAAGGAATTGTATGCGACTCTTATACAAGCGAGAGGTTTGGCTTTCTATAAAACCAGGTTTAATCCACCATTTTCTACATAACAAAATGCCTGTACAAAGTCAGGAATATGACAGTTGTTATCCATTCGTTTGATGTGTTTGAGCTTTTGATTTTGTCATTTGCTTAGGGACTTTCCGTTAAGAATTTTCCTCTGAGTTCGGTAATTTTGTTATTTTACTTTTTACGATTATCATAACAGATGTGTTCACGCATTTTCAAATGAATTTAACATTCTCTCAAAAATGATTTAACCATTGATAGACATTACTCGAGACTTTAATTACAATTATGGTCAAACTGAATTATATACGTGTATATTTATAGCAGTACCTACCTGCCCATTCGGAATACCATTACCTAACATCAATTGTGGTCGGGGATCAATTCAAGACTGCCCACCTACGTTTTACTGTAACATTCACGAGACGGATGAGTTTGCTGTGTGTTGCATTAAGGTCAGTACTAAACTCTTACAGCTGAAAAAATAAGAATTTAATAAATCTTTTTGTTCGGTATTCCTGATGAAGGTTAATCCGAAAAAGCGCTTCGGACTCACAAAAACTTAACAGTGATGTTTTCATTCAAGAAGTAACATTTGAAACTTGAAATATATTTTGTTTTTTATCGTCCAGTGGCAACTATTTAAATAAAAGTTTCAACAACCGTAAATAATCAGAGATTTGAATTTAAAAAATGTTTTGGTAGATGTAGATTTTTAGCTATTTTGCAATCGTTTCAAACTTGTAAAGTAAATGTCCATGCAAAACAATATTTATTGCGTATCCAATGAAAATAACAAGAACTTTTCTTAAAAGCATGGAAAGTGATTAACCACGTCACTTTACCAAAAACCGATATGTCGTATCTATACTGTATTGGGTGAAATGTAAAAGTTGTTTGAAAACTGCCCCAAAATATGCACGACATAAGAAAATATACAAAATCGATATGGATATTAGATCAGAAATAAATGGCTCTTTAATTATATTCACAAGGCCACAAGGCAGGAAACATTGTTGAAATTTAAAAATTCAAGATAAAAATGATATGATTTATGCTTTATTAACTACTTTTCTGTGCCTGTGCATATATAAATACAATGAGTTTAGCAAATGCTATGAGACGTGCATCCCGTCTAAAAAAAACGAAACAACAATACATATACAGATCATTACACGATCTGCACAAATAGAAAGATGTCTGTATTATATTTTATTTCAAACGTTCAATAGCACTGACTAGCCAATATATTTCATAGAGATTATGAGGAGATAGATAGTGACTCTTGCCACTTTAGATAGATTTTAATCAAGCAGCAATGTCTTTGTTTCTTTCTTGATTGGGATATTTCTATTCAGAAAGAATGCGCTGTACTGAATTAATGCATAAAGGGGACAATTGTTTCCCCAATGTAACATGTGTAAGATCGTTTTGTATGTTGATGTGTCATTGGTAATTTCCAAACTAGGTCAATATGTCCAGTATGATAGTACACCGCATTATTGTGTTATCAACATGCAAAATAAGTTTACGCCTTTCCTCGTATATGAATCAATGGTTTACAAATTGGTTATTAAAATCGCCTTCTAATATTTACATTGTCTTGAATATGTTACATAACATTCATTTTCCAGCTACCTGGAACATCTGGATAGTCCGCTAACTTGGTATGACAAAGATGCAACATGTTGTTTGTACAAAGAAATGATGTCATCATAGATGTATGGGTCCTACTTGCTGACCATTATTTTGACAGACATACATATATAAACTTTTTAATAAACTGGACTTTTCTTAAATTAACATTTAAGACGTGTTTCTTCTTGTCATAGCCGAACCGTGTCATGCAATTGAATCGATTCTCAAATGCGACATACTATGCATTAAATGCCATGAGCAAAATGGTGTGTTTCTTGTTTCATGTGTTTTACAAACTGTCATTTTCTGCTGATTTCCTTCTATTATTTCTATTTTATTTTGACGATTGAGTGTTTGGTGGTTCTTTACCTTACTGTTTTTTTATTTTATTCTGTTAGTGTTATTCTACCGTTTTAAATATTATCTATAAAAGACTTTATTTAAGAAATGTTTCCAAATTTTGGAGTAGTCTTCATAATTAATCTTTCATATGTTTCCATTCTAAATTTAGCTATTGAGTTGTGCATACAGTGGTGGCATTTTAGTCCCCGAGTAGTAAGTGCTTTGGTACTGACATGATTTATAAAATACGTTATATATTTCCCTATTAATATTGAAAATTTAAAACATTGCAGTGACGTCATTTTATTGTTGTACCCGTTCTTAATTGCAGTGATTGGACAATCGTTTAGCTGTAAAAACAATATTTTACCTTTAACTGTACAATACTTTTAAAAATAAACCTGATCTTTCTTTAAAATATTGGACAACTGACAGAGAGCATAATTTAATCTAACAGGTAAATGATACTCTAAGTGAACTGCAACAAGGGTTTGGATATAAAAACAATTCGTGATACGACTTAATTGCGTAAACGTTAGAGTTAAGAACAGACATTGAACAGGCTGATTGTATTAAATCTGTTAGATACATTTAAACCGTAGAATCATCCACAGGCATAAACTAGTACTTTCTGCACCAAATTTCAAATTTATTAAAATACAAATCGTATTTCTTGTTTGTGGAATCTGATCTGTTTTTTTTTAAAGCCATATCCATAGCTTCAAACGCGGTGTTATGTAAACCAGTTTGAGATATTGTTCTCAAAGAGATCTACAAAAGAGATGGAAAGATATGCATATACTTTCAGGGACAGAAAAACACTGCCAGATCCATGACACAAGCGTCCAGGTCCGTCTACATATACACTGTATAAATCTACAGCAATAATATAAAATCAAAATGCGGTAAGGTCTGCATAAAGAAAAAACTTTCACTGGAAATCCATTCATATTTTTTAGCATCAAGATTCAACAAGCACATTACTAATAAATCTGCCTTCATTGAAAACCAAATTCTCAGTTGAACCCCTGTGGACAAATAAGAAGGGGTTTCATACTCAAGAAAATCTTGCACTAAACTAACAAACTCGCCGGTGTCGACGGATACCATCATCGGCCAAAAAATTACCGATTTCAACTTCGGAATTACCAATTTGGTTTTACAGAATTAGATTTAAGTGTTAGCTATTAAAGATACAGGTGGAACGAGCCAATTATTATCACTTGACAAAACGTGAAAGCATCCATACCTGTGGTTTAAGGATAAAAAAATGACTTATACCTTGGAAGTTTAGCATTGTTACTGTAAGCAAATCGGTATATGCGTAAAGGTCCCAATATGTTATTAAATATAAGGAAAATTTGTCCGAAACCGCCCAATCGTCAAAATCATAGATTTAACTAGTATACTGATCCGCGGTAGTATTCCACGATTTTCCCTCGGTTTTAGTTTGTAACCCGGATTTGTTTTCTATCAATCGATTTATGACTTTTGAACAGCGGTATTCTACTGTTGCCTTTATTTGGTATTCATTCAACACACCCAATTTTCTATACAAATATAAATAATCTCTGTAGTTAGATTGTGCAAATCATGTTTCATACTACAAACTGATATGTGAGCTACGTTTTGGTTATCAGTGAATAGTTTTACAAATTCATTTTTAAATGACCTGGATTACATTTCAAAGTCAAAATCAATCACTATTCTCTCTAAGTGAAACGTTTGAGCTTTTCTACATTTGCTCACATCTGATGCGCAATTTGATCAGATAAAAATGCACAATGTAGCCAGCGCCCGCATATGAACTTGCATCAGTATAAGCTAACCAGTCGGGAAGTTTCTGAATTGGTACTAACACGCAAGTTGGTAAAGACTTTAGTGAAGAATGCCAAAATTCTAACTCTTTAATTGACATATGATGTTACTTAACTTTAGAGTCCCAAGAGGATCGCTCGTTTAATAAGCGATGTCAATATCTTGTCATAATTATACATATATTACCTAGTGCGGGTAAAGATGTAATGATTTTACCAACTACCGCTGCAACTTTCCTTGCAGTCATATAATTAGGATTTATAGTATCTCCAAATGAACTCGGATTATAAGATACTGAAGTACTATGTTTAAACGTGTCTAAAGAAGTATTGTCGGCTCTACTGTCTGCTGGTTTCTTGTCAAATTATGGAAAAAGTGTGTGGAATCCACAAAAAGTTTAGATTGGCTAGGTTTTTATGGGATTAACATAGGGTATTGTAATGCCGTCCACCTTTTTGAACATGACTTGCTGTGTTGTTATTAAGTACAAATAATAATATGGAGAACATGTCTTTGAGATGATATGCTATGCAAATGAGTCTATTGAATATGCTGATTGTAATAATATTGATTGTCATGATTTAATTCTATTGTGTTTCAAGTGATGTTATGACTTAATTTTACTCGCGGTGACAAAGTTTAATCCTGGAGTTGCGGTACCAATATTTATGTTGTTTTATTTGAGATATTAACCTTTTTACATGTGTTCTTAAGTTATCCTGTATGTGTAAAAACCTTCATGATGAATAAATATGTTGTTTCTAATTGATATTAAGCTGAAAAACATCTTTATTTACACGAAACTTCCAGTGTTTACATTTTGAGTTGCCATTTCGGGAATTTCCCTACACAGAGAGATGGTTGCTGATTGGTCCAACATATGTAAAAGCGTCTATGATTGGCTGATCGTCGAATAGAATTGAAAAGATCTCAACTACGGAGGGCAGTGATTGTTTGTTGTTTGAAAGTTACGGAGCGCCAAATTTAAAATGTCTTAGAACTTTTCTGGGTGTAAATAGTCGGTGACTTATTTGGGTGTAAATACTTGGTGACAATTTAGGGTGTAAATTGTACCAATATTTTAAGTGTTAATGGAATAGATGTCTTTGTGACAATAATAGCAAGTAGTTTTATACTGATAGTTATCATTTGAAATAGATGTTGTTAAATTAAGGCTACATACTTGTATAGGTGTTCTTTTATTGAAGCACCTTTGTAAGCCTGTTCGAACTCTACGCTACCTGTAGTTTTAAAACTAAAGTCGAAGTTAACAGAGTGGTGACTCTGGATTGTTATATATATATTAATATATATAAATTAAATAAGTTAGACCAACCATGCCGGGGACCCGACCAGACCAATGACAGAGCCTGTACAGCCATTCTCTCAGAGCGTTTTTAATTGTAAAATAAATAACCAAAACTTTTATATTTCTTGTCTTTTATTTCTCAAGTATAATTAATATATAAAATTTATAGACCTCTAGAATCTAGGTTAAACTAAGCTGTAAAATGTCTTGGTTCGACGGTATTAGACGTTAGACGTTGGGCCTTACATTTTACAGTTATAAATAATACCAGTTAAGAAATCCCTTTTTCTATGTAACCTATGATCTCTGGTGGCCGACTCTAACACCAGGGAGGCAGCGTTATAGTATTTTATTGCTTTAGTACTAGAATTTTTAATCTTTTACTAGTCCAATATTTTACTAGAGGGCATACCATTTTAGTGAAAATATAACAAGCTAAGCTTAACCCAAAGTGTAAAGTTGTAAACGTGTATGATTTCACTTAACTGTCACTTTCCCATGAAAACCAAGAAAAATTTGGTGATTTCATATTTATATGATGATACCCATTTCTCAAATAAAACTTAAACGCAAAATTTATATCTACTGCATACGTTTTAGCCTCTTTTACACCCTCTTATTAAAATTTAGATTACACTTCATATTGATTGACATGTCTAAGGTGAATAATCAGCCTTTCCTTTCCACAGTTGACCGACACCGATAAATGATTAATAACAAAGGGGGCAATGCTAACTTCCTTATCGACTCCGATGCATACCAAATCTGCGATTGCACGTTTAATAACATCTTTGTGTTCAAAAGCAGATCTTTTGTTATACAAAAATACAGAAGGAGGTGTATCAGTAAATTTGAAAAAATTAACCAGATTCAAGTAAAGGTAAAACTATTTTTTGAAGCCAATAAGAGTTTTTCTTTCCAAAATTGTAAACTATCATTTAATCGACCTTTAACATTATAAACTTGTACTGACTCGTTCTCATACTCATATGTGTTTATTTAAAGATCTGAAATATAATACTCAAGTACTCGGTCATGATACGCGCGAGTACTCGAGTACCCGGATAAATCTTTTACGTCTGAAGAGCATTGATTTTTGCTGGGATGCATGCGGTATTTTTGTTATTACCTTTCATAAACTAAATTTTAATAAGATGACATCGCTTGATATCTCAACAAAAGACATGCAAATTATTGCAGACTTCAAACTGCATGACTACAAAATATAACCTGATCCTTGGTTATGTGTATCGCTCCTTCTTTTTTGTGTCAATTGAATTAGTAATATTTATATTATGACTATTGTCCCATAATGTATCAGCAATATTGGACTTAAAATTACTTGTACAAATGATATTTAATTATTAATTATAGATTAAAGAAAATAATAAAGTTTCAAATAAACATTTATTATTAATGTACATCTCATACCAATCACGTTTACAGAGAACTCTTGATTCACAATCAAAGGTAAGTTTACGGTTTGTGAATTATGATCCATGAAAGTGTAGATAGGTATACAAACACCGTTACCAATGTCTCTAATCAGTTGTGTGGGGTTTCTTAAATTTTGTTCTTGTTCAGAAATATGATCTGAACCAACAGTTCAGATGAAAGTCTGTTTCTAAATTTTGTTACAACAAGTTCTGCGCATGAAAAAATCCTCTCGGAAGGAACGGTCGTTGACATTCTGTATAATGATTTTGTTTTTCTCGGCAGAACTCCTGTTTAAAAATTAAAAGGGGTTTCATACTCATTAAAATCTTGCACTAAACTAACAGCCTTGTTT